CCCTTCCTACTGAACCTCTGGACATCTTCCCCAATTTGTCCAAAGTTCTCCTGCGCCTTGCTTGCGACTTTCTTCGACGACGGTGGGACGTTTACGTTCCCTAGAAACAAATCTTTCTCACCCCGCTCACTGGTATCTTAAGCCATACGCTTTCCTCGAACTCCGTTTTCACCACTACTTCCACCACGTCAAACAAATGTTTCTTGACCAGAAATCCGACTCCCCCCTCCCCCCTTTTCTTCGGGTCTAAGCCCTTGCTTGCCTTCCCTACCCACCGGTATTTCCCCAGTTTGCTTACCACGTCCCCATCCTTCAATTCCCACGTCTCTTGGATCCCCACTACATCTAGATCGCTTTGTTCTACTTGGTCCACTATTTCCAACCGCTTGCGCTCACTTCTTGCGAACCCGCACACGTTCCACGACCCGACTCTCAGCTTGTGCTTTTCCCTATTGGAGATTTTGCGCACTCTATCGTTCGCCTTCCGCTTCTTCTCGAACTTCCTCTGACTTGCCTGCTCGCCTCCCCCGCTCGGTCCTTTCTTCGGATGGCGGGGGGGTACTCATGTTTTGCATGCCTTGGCAAGTAGACCATTGACCATGCGTCCTCGGGAGGACGGAACATTTTTCCTAAAGGACCGATCACGGATGCCACTTGTTCCTTGGTACGGAGGGGTGTTTGGCTAGGGATTTGAGGGTGACACATACGGCGGTGCGGTGGAGGTCACCGCCCCTCTGCGTCCTACGTTTAGTGGTTGCAGTAGTGCGAAGGCGTTCGGCGTGATTTTTCCTGTGCCTTCGGGTCCGTGATTGAGGCTGACGTTCTCTTCGCTGCGAGGTAGCCTGCGTGTATTCAAGGAACAGAGGTAGCGGGCTAAGGCTGGCGCAAAGGAGGTGTTGTATCAGCGGCTGTGTCTGTGTACGCCTGCGCTTGTTCCCTAGCCACGGCTTTGCGGGGTTTCGGTTGTGGTGACAAGCTCAAGGTTTGGGGATGCCACAGAACGGGAAAGTAAAACGAAAGACCAACCGAAGGGGAACTAGAGCACGTTACATGTGCTACTTGCGTGCGACTTTGCTCCTGACCCTCATCTGGTGCACCCGAGCTCTGGAGTCAAACCCAGGTGTGCGGTATGTTCGCTGCGGTCGGTGTTGCGAGGTATGGGGGGAAGTATGACCGTAAAAACATGGATCGAATTCGATACTTTCGCGTTCCTCGCCGTTGTTTGTTGAGGAAGCAGACCAGAGAAAAAACAATCCCCCAGGGTCCCATGTTGCAGCAGATATTTATACCAACTTCAAGGATTCGAGATTTTTGAAGTTTTGCGGTGCATGATCATTGCCTTTTGGGATCATACCTGTTTTGTTTTTATTGCTTTATCATGGGATGACTCTACCGTGGGATGACTCTACCATACGAGGGCTTTACCGTGGGATAGTTTCATAGGGCGAATGGCCGCTAGAGGGTTGGTGAGATATTTTGGCACACATTAAATAATCAAGCCGTTGTATTTACCTACGAAAGAGGGAGGGTATCTGGTAAAGGGCCGGTGAATCTGCCTGGCGCATACCCCCCGTATCGAGGGCCCTCATCATGTCCACCCCTGATTGTGATTCAATAGTCGCAACATTCAGTTTTTATCTCTCCCCCCCCGGTTGCTGCTGCTGCGGCGGCTGTGTCTCGCGGTTTTGACGTTACGTGTACTCAGGATGACGGCGACGGGAAGGAGAACTGCCTAGCGGAGGCGGACAAGGATACGATCAAGGCCAACATCGTGCCGCTCATGTGCAGGGCACCGCCGGAGGTCCAGCGCCAGGTGATTTGGCTAGTTCACCTGAGGGTAAACGTTGCAGCTGTAACATTCGGGCCGGCTCCCTCTACGTACCGCACACAATACCTTTCCGCTTGGTGATGTGAGAGGCTGGTTCGGTGAGGACCCGGAGTGCTCCGTCACGGGTTGTAGGGATGCGAGGTCAATGGTCTACCGACTAGGGCATGCACGGCTATGAGTACATCCCTGCCGTTCTTCCCTCCCCGTCTCGTACACGCTCGTGATCGCGATCCTTCTTTTGTTTGTGCGACAGTTTGCCGAGGCCCTGACGATCATCAGCAAAGTCGACTTCCCTGCACGGTGGGCGAACCTCATCGAAGACCTTGTCCGCCTGATGAAGACTTCCGGCCAGGTGTGGCAAGAGCACTAGCGCTGCTCTCAGAACGCAACATCCTCACAAGCAGCAAGCATTGCATGACAACCGAAGGCTGCGGCAACACCACACCGTCCATCCCACCGCTGTCGGTTTGTCTTGTATGCGATGAGATCAAAGTGGTTGGTTCGGTTCGGTTGAGATGTCACAACTGCGGGAGTGCTTCTCGAATTCGGATGCGTAGTGGGGAGGACAGAATGGCGCTCGGCAAGCCTACGCGCCTGGAGAGCCAAGGGCTGCCATCATTAGTAACGCATTGGGCGTCGGGCATGACTTGCGGAAGAACTCAGGCTATTGCCTACAACCCGTGGCCCGTCTATGTCGGCGGTGACGATTGCCCTATCCTGGCTGTTAATCGTGTAACACGTTGGCTGGACGAATCTGTGAGACAGCTTTGCCAGCGTTTCGCAGTTGTCGCAGATAGTGGCGGTTGTTATCAAAAGCGGCGGCACAACTTGTTTGTCGCATTAGCGGCGAAAGGTCTCGAAAAACTTCGTCCACTACCGTTTTGTGCGTGACACGTTGTTCCTCAGAAGAGTTTCTGTAGCGCCCTGCTCTCAACTGCAGCACCCCGAGATTGCTGAACCCCGTACTTTTTGGTCAACGACCCTTTGCCGTCGGCCAATTCGGAGGTATTCATCACTCCTTATGTAGCCATTTCATACCCTGTATGCACGAAACTTCTGGCAAGATTCCACCACGTGTGACAGGCACCAATGAACAACACTATCATCCTTTTGTTGCCCAAACCCTCCTCTAAACGCAACCGACCCTTACAGGATTACCACTCTCTGAACGGAGCTCTGCTGTCGGCCAACTCGGTGCTCAAGCGCTACCGTTACACGTTCAAGAGCGACGCCCTGTTCAACGAGCTCAAGCACATCGTGCTTCCGCACATGGCGGTGAGGAAGAGTTGTACCGGTATACAATAGGGATAAGACTCGGGACGTCGGATATGATGTGCATGGCAACTGGTTGGTTTTGGGAACGCGAAAATGATCTTTGCGAAAATCATAACAGCGATGGCTTATCTTTCCATGGGCCGTGGGGCGTTTTGTTAGAATGGTGGTGAGAATACCAAGCTTCAGGTTGTACATTCTGTTTGCGGTATGGCCACAGTAGTAATGGTTAGCATGAGCCACGCCAAGACAAAAGGAGTTGCAACACAAAGACAGCGCAACCGTGTTCTACTGCTCCGTGCGTATTTTGTAGGATGACTGTGAGACAATGTATGTGCTCCCCCCGCCCCTCGGGGCCACTCCTCAGCGTTCCTGAACCACACCTGATGCTGTCTAGGCATCCTCGATTGAGGCAGGCTGTCCATTGCCCACACGAACATCTCTCAATGCAACCAAAACGCCTTTCCCGTCCCGAATAGAACAGGATCTGAAACTTTTGATGTGCTTTACCCCAGAGACTGCGAGGGTCTATGTTTTGAAAGACTACGATGTTTGGTCATGAAGTATGTACCCCGTCCGTGACTGCTCTATGTAGATCTGCGAGAGCGGCTTCTGTTCTTCTGTTGCTGACCAAGCAGTCTTACACACACTCACACCAGCCCCCCACCCCCACGTACCCCACGGTGCCCCGCTCCCCATTCTTGCAGGAGCCCCTCCTGGTGCTGTTCAAGCAGACGTTCGTTGCCGTGGAGCAGTACAAGAGCAACAAGGAGGTCCTGGTGCAGGTGCTGGAGGCCGTCCGCCTCATCATGCGCATTTTCTTCAGCCTCAACTGGCAGGTATTGAACACGGACGCGTTTGGTGGTGGCGTCGCATGTGCAGCCGTGCCTTTTTGGGCGTATTTGGTCGACGCTGTTGTCGATGGGGTGGGTTATATGTGTCGGCCGTACCTTTGTGCCGTATGTGCACGTCGAAATTCGGGCCGGGCATCTCGCCATGTCAAGAAAGGGATGCACGAACCCAGAGAGCTGGAATGGTAGAACACAAGTACTTCTGGGTAAAGGTGAAGCAGTACAATCTAATCTAGCACCAAAAATTGAAATTTTGACATTCTTTTCTTTTCCGGTACTATTTTTGCCGCTTTCTTACTTGTTCTCTCCTCAAAGTCATCCCTCTGTTGGACCAGTGCAGAACGCTATGCGCTTGTATGTGTAGCGCGTAGGCGTGCCTCCTGTTCCACAAAATCCCCGGCACTAACTGTGCTTGAACTTTGCCAACCCTTGAGTTTTTCACCATGGTCTATTAATAGCCTGGTTTTCGAGAAACATGCTTCTTGACGCATGTCGCCACCGCCAGACGTATCACTCCAGCTATTCCTCAACTTTATTCGCGTAAGTGCGGAGCACATATAGGAACATCTTCAAGGCGGCCCAACTCCGTTGACGGGGGGGGGGGGGGGGCCCCCCCCCCCCCCCCCCCCCCCGTGACTCCCACAACACCACAGCAGTGCAGCAGCTATCCTTTCCAACCCCAACGACTTTCCAGTTCTTTCCTGCGAAAATTGTCTGGACTCCCAAGAGTTCGTGGTGATACGGACTTGAGATTTTTGCACGGCGGTAGCGTCTGCAATCCCGCGTGGGTGGACTAAACGTTTGCTTTTTTGTGAATGGAGAGAGTTAGCCTTGCTGCTGTCGTCATTCTTTGTTCCTGTGCCCATCCTTTCATGATGTTGTCTCCTTTTTTTTTTTTTTCAGGACTTGCCGGAGGTGTTTGAGAACGACATGGCCCCGTGGATGGAGGGTTTCCACAATTACCTGGAGGCGTACTCGAACCCTCTGCTCGACCAGCCGGAAGGAAGCGAGGCGCCCGGGCCCATCGAGCGCGTGCAGGTGCGACATGGTTGTCTTTGTTGTCGCCGCCGGCGGCGGCTCCGACGTGTTCTAAGATGCTTGTTGTATGTGCTCATATCTTGTTGTCGTGTTTTGGCGGAATGATGTTATCGTTGTTGTTCGTGCTGATGATGTCGTTCGAGAAGCGATCGAGTGTCGTGTGTTTCCTGAGGCAGCTGGGGTGTCCACTGTTGAGCGTGCTGAGCGCACACGACCATATTCTTACGCTCTCGAATAGTCAGCAGGGAGCCCATACGCACCTCCAAGCATGACAGGAATACAAGGACTATGTTCCAGTTGTTAGACCACTTTTCGGTCTATACGCGGCACCTAGGTCAACTGCAGCATGCGTGAGTCGCAGCCGGGTGCCCTCCCCCCTTTCTCCCCGCCCCTTGGACAACGGCGAAACCCATTCTATCATTGTATCCTGTCGTACCCAATGAAGGAGGCTGTACCGCGTAGCGACCAGAAAATGTCGAGAACGAGACTTCCACCCTCTGACAGAATCATCAACCTAACCTCGGTCTGTTGGACTCCCCCCCCCCCC